AAAGAGAGAGATGTCCTGATGTCTATAGTAGTGGCAAGGAGTCATAGACTGATTGAGATCAATGATGTACGCATTAAAACTGATCCTTGAACTTCTCATCCGCACGGACCAATCAAATCAGCAAGAAGTCACGTTTGCCGTTGCTAAGAGTATAGTGCGGTCACGCCGCAAGAGGAATGACTGGACGTCGCTCCTTTGTCATTGTTGTCGGGGAAGTACCTTGGGCGCTACCAATGACGCTGAAGCCGCCGGTACAGGAGTATATCGGTAGAATGTGCCTTTCAAGCTTCTCTGCTGGGGCCTGCACATAGGAGAGTAGTGTTTCTGCTGGCAGTTGAGACACAACCCAGATGGTCACGTATACGATGACCGGCCCTTGAGGCAATTGAAACATAATGATGCCTGTTTCACCAGATTCCAGCGTTCATCCAGTTGAAGATTACGAAACTTTTGGCATTTCGTCAATGCGATAAATCATTACAAGATGGACAATTAGTTGCCCTGTCAGGTGCCCTACGGATTAGTAATTTTCAGAATTTATAGCCAGATGCGTCTTCACGACAACGACTTGATGTGGACCGCTTGAAAACTGTGGATATGGTCGAAGATGTCGGCAGGTTAGCTGCACGCCGTTCCAGAACATTATAACGTCTTCCATCTTGGATGTCATTGGATTTAGGCTCATTCCCCACTCGGTTCGGGTAACAACCGGTAGTTTGGGTAATAGCAGTGGTACGGCTATAGCATCCCATTGTTTTACTGGAACATTCATCATTTCGAGCGCCTCTAAGGAATTACGAACAGTATCTACCAAATTTAGTAGCGTAGCTCGAGATTCTGGTGGATGGGTGGCAAGTCTAGTAGATACTGAATCATGTGCTCGAAAGAGTACGGGGTTGTCATAACGTTGTTTCAATTCACCACCAGACTTCTTCATACCCACCTGTGTACAAGCCACCTACTAATGGAACATTTTCGCCTTCACATACTGTCGCAGTTTTCCCAGTTTATAGGTGGGTTGTAAAGTCACTTCTGTTGTGAACTAGTGTCTCAAACATATCCTTGAACGCTAACCAGTTTGAGGCTGTCCGTCAAAGCTTGGAATAGAAACGGGATCCAACCGCATGTCTGGAGCCTGACTGTACTCCTGGTTGGGGATCTCGCCTGATGTTGACATTTTACGTTTTAATTTGATGCAAATGTTGTTGAAAATCTCCTCGTTGAAGCGAGCAAATCGTCATGCTGCCATCTCGCTCCATGTGCGCTGGAAACGAGTGCAAAATGGTTGTCCATAAAACGGGAGAAATGCTGTCGGGCACTACCCAAGCTGTTCACTTTCGACACAGTCTGGATGGTTAGTTTTCCGCTTAAGCTTGCGTCCAGATGTGCAAAATAGAGGTGCGCGCTGATGTACGCAAGTTTAATGCCGACATATTACTCCAAAATTCATTTAACACTGTGATTGATATATATCTACCTCACAGGGGCACAAAAATGTTTAGGAATGCACTAAACACTCAATTTTCTAATGGCGGATTGCATTACAATAAAACACGATTTTGATTATTTATTATATCACTATTTCCACTATTTCTTTGGTACGCTCCAAGTACCATCCAATTCCTTTGACAAACAACTGAACACAATCTTATGCTTAACTTATGCTAGAAAATTAGTATGTAAGAGAACTGACAAAAATAACAAAGTTGTTATTGCATACGGCAAAATGGCCTGACTAAACAACAGTAGAATGGTATGATATACCAAAGCCAAACGCATCACCTGATAATGGTGATTCCTGTTGTTCTTGTGTGCTTCACAATTGTCTGACCCAAACAACGGTAGAAATGCCGAACCTAAAGTGCGTCAGCTGATAATGATGATGCCAGATTGCACCTGGAGAATGGTGCTGCCAAATTGTATAGCATAAATCTCTCAAGTTAATGGAACTTATGATGAATCGATAACAGTCGCACTAATCGCAACTATCTAAGCGCTCGTCACACGGGTAGTCTATGGGAAACACTAGTAAAGGTTGTAAAAGTTTCAAATTCCACGTCAAAAAAAAAAGTAGCTTACAAACCTTCATATAACAAATGTTATAGGGTATGGAGTATGTTTACTAACTCGAAATGAAGCTGTTCTCAATTCGGCCAAATATTGTAATCTCCCAAGATACGATTTCGCAGCTCTAATCCCAGGGTATGTTTTCAAAGGAGCACCCAATCTGACCATATCTGAGCCAGGCGTGGAGTCGCTATCCTTACTAAGCCATAATAAATAAATTTAAAATAACCTCCAATTAAAAAAATAAACACAAAAACGCATATACCTTTACTATAATAACCAGTAATCAAAATAGTAAATCAATAAACACGCAAAATAAAGTTGCTTACATCGCGCATCAATACCTATGGTAGATCAAAATCCATATCGACTAAAACCAAAATCGCTTCTTACACTTAACATTCTGCGCCCTCGGCTACTCTACCAGCAAGCCGAAATACTATCAACATATACCGCTAATATGTGTAATACTAGGCAAAATATTCGCCTAGGGGGCCCAGGATGTTTAAATAAGCTAAGCCTCAATACCACCACTCCCTCCGGCAACAACTGACGCACCCTAATGCAACATACCGCACTTGAGAACAACACCCGATGAAATCACACCACAGAGGACAACACAGCGTACCATAACACGGCACCTGTACACCTAACAAAAAGGACGGGATCACACTTTATACGCTTATCGTCTACGGGCCTGAGCGCCACATCAACATTCGCTTATACACATTCGATTAAATAGCGATCCGACGCGCTAACTAGACTTCTCAGCGGGACAGCGCGCTTCGACAACTCAATCCATCTTTTTTCGGACAAAATTTTCGCTTCGCTGGTTTGCTTCCAGTCCAGCACAACTACCTTTTTTTAAATTAAACTGGAACTAATGTTTAATAATTAATAATTTGTTAAATAAATAAATTTGAACGGAGTTCAATTATAAAAGTAATGATTGGAGTGTTTCCTTTATAATCCTATTTAAAGCTAGTGAAAATAAATTTCGTGCTCCCCAATAAATTGGGTATCTTTTTATTCAAAATTATTATATGTAGAACAATATAATTGCATATATTTTCGGCATTAAACTAAAGTATATACAATATAATAGGTTCAGTTAATTATCTTAAAATATCTTACATGTTGGTTGTTAACGATTCATCATAAGTTCCATTAACTTGAGAGATTTATGCTATACAATTTGGCAGCACCATTCTCTAGGTGCAATCTGGCATCATCATTATCAGCTGACGCACTTTAGGTTCGGCATTTCTACCGTTGTTTGGGTCAGACCATTGTGAAGCACACAAGAACAACAGGAATCACCATTATCAGGTGATGCGTTTGGCTTTGGTATATCATACCATTCTACTGTTGTTTAGTCAGGCCATTTTGCCGTATGCAATAACAACTTTGCTATTTTTGTCAGTTCTCTTACATACTAATTTTCTATATAAGCATAAGTTAAGCATAAGATTGTGTTCAGTTGTTTGTCAAAGGAGTTGGATGGTACTTGGAGCGTACCAAAGAAATAGTGGAAATAGTGATAATAATAAAATAATCAAAATCGTGTTTTATTGTAATGCAATCCGCCATTAGAAAATTGAGTGTTTAGTGCATTCCTAAACATTTTTGGTGCCCCCTGTGAGGTAGATATATATCAATCACAGTGTTAAGTGAATTTTGGAGTAATATGTCGGCATTAAACTTGCGTACATCAGCGCGCACCTCTATTTTGCACATCTGGACGCAAGCTCAAGCGGAAAACTACCATCCAGACTGTGTCGAAAGTGAACAGCTCTTGGGTAGTGCCCGACAGCATTTCTCCCGTTTTATGGACAACCATTTTGCACTCGTTTCCAGCGCACATGGAGGCGAGATGGCAGAGCATGACGATTTGCTCGCTTCAACGGAGGAGATTTTCAACAACATTTGCATCAAATTAAAACGTAAAATGTCAACATCAGGCGAGATCCCAACCAGGAGTACAGTCAGGCTCCAGACATGCGGTTGGATCCCGTTTCTATTCCAAGCTTTGACGGACAGCCGTCAAACTGGTTAGCGTTCAAGGATATGTTTGAGACACTAGTTCACAACAGAAGTGACTTACAACCCACCTATAAACTGGGAAAACTGCGACAGTATGTGAAGGCAGAAAATGTTCCATTAGTAGGTGGCTTGTACACAGGTGGGTATGAAGAAGTCTGGGCTGAATTGAAACAACGTTATGACAACCCCCGTACTCTTTCGGAGCACCATGTTCAGTATCTACTAGACTTGCCGACCCATCCACCAGAATCTCGAGCTACGCTACTAAATTTGGTAGATACTGTTCGTAATTCCTTTAGAGCGCTCGAAATGATGAATGTGCCAGTAAAACAATGGGATGCTATAGCCGTACCACTGCTATTACCCAAACTACCGGTTGTTACCCGAACCGAGTGGGGAATGAGCCTAAAATCCAATGACATCCCGAAGATGGAAGACGTTATAATGTTCGTGGAACGGCGTGCAGCTAACCTGCCGACATCTTCGCCCATTACTCCACAGTTTTCAAGCGGTCGCACATCAAGGTCGTGTCGTGAAGACGCATCTGGCTATAAATTCTGGAAAAATTACTAATCCGTTAGCAGCACCTGACA